CCCCAAATAATCAATCAGAAGACAGTCCGTATTCTAAACAGCGAACTCATACAAGTGAAAAATAGAGAGTTCGTCGCACATTCCATAAAGTGAAAAAACATCAACTTCGTGCATCTGACTTTAGTGTTAAATAACCCTCAGCGTCCTCCTTACTCAAGCTCCCCTCAGTCGCACACGCTCATCTCAGATAGTCCAGTTGTCATAAAGTAGGGATGCACCGATACCGGTATTTTGGTACCGAGTACGAGCAGCGATAAAAAAAATTCGGTACTCGCCGATATCAATTACCGAGTAACGGAAGTCCCATTCAGGAAGCCAGGTGGCGTGTAATGACTCGCCACCTGACTTCCTAATTAGCCGGGCAGCGTGTAAAGACTCACCACCCGGCTTCCGGATTAACAAGAAATTCCCCTCTTACCTTTGTATGTCCAGCCTGTCACCTCCTGTCATGTCTCACAAGTGACGAGAGAGCATGGAGCCGCTTCCCGGCCAATCAGGAAGCCGGGCATCGTGTAATGACTCGCTGCCCGGCTTCCTGACACAGGAAGTACTCATGCTAGGCATCGGAGCATTTGGGCGAGTACGAGTACTCGCCCAAATACTCGGTATCGGTGCATCCCTATCATAAAGGATAGATCAAATTCCTCATTGTGCAGCAGGGACGTCCCGAGGCCTGGTGTCACCCGGAGCTGAGACCGGGTGACACCCCACAGTGACGTCAGTGCGCAGCCATCTAATTGACGCTTACCGGCAGCCATCTTAGTGTTAGAAGCCGGCAGAGAGAGGAGGGGACGTTCAGTATATACAGTTGTATTTCCAATAGTATGGACCCAGTGTGGGTCTGAAACTGTTTCTGGGATGGAGCACTTGGGAGAAACTTTGTCTGTTGGTGCTATAGAAGCCTGGATGAGCTTGGACCTTGCAGGAAGTCTGGTGTCTCACCTAGGGAATTCTGAGGTAAGTCTACTAACCAGCTAAGGTTCTACAATACCCCCTGTTACTGTAATCAGTTTAAAGGCCCTCTGCACTGTAAAGGTGGGAAGTGGTCATGATTCTGGAGTTCTGTACTGTCCTAGATGTCTGTAGCCCTCTTTCCCGTATTTGTTGCTGATGGAATAAAACCTTTAATATCCTTAAAGTGACCGACACCCAACTTACATTCACATCCTACAAAGTGGCTGAGGACTCATCACTGAGGTGAAATGTCAGCCCACCCATGAAATCCCCCACATGTTCCAAGAGGTCAGGTGGGTCCGGCAATGGTATTATGAACACACAGATTTGGCTAAAAAAGAGCAGGAAGCTTTATTACCAATGGCAGAAACAGTATGAAGACAACTGAACCCAGAGGATAGATAAATGGTATAGGGGTGATTGATTGCTTTCTTCCATGTTGCGGCCTGCAGGTAGGCAAGGGTTCTGAAAATCCTCAATGACTGACCACGAGACAGTCCACCAAACAACAAGAAGAGAACTGAAGTCTAGCTGAGGTTGGTAAGGTGAGGTGATCTTTTTAGCATGATTCGGAGTCAAGAGCCAGACAAGGCCAGGATCTATAGAGAAAGAAAAACCTTTGCTAACGCCCCCCCAGCCCAGATGGGCTGATCCCTTCTGGGTGTTTTTGATAAAATCAGCTGCTGGTAACATGGCCACTCAAGTACAGACAAGAGATTTAAATGTCATCAGCTTATTAGTGACTTGGGCATTTTGGGGAAAATGAGAGTAACACAGTGTTCAGTACCATCCCCCATTCTCTCCACACTGTTTTGGTTCATCACACCTCATTATCATCACATGGGGAGTTCTATCATGTGTTGCTGATATACAACTAACGCTGCTAAAGTGGAAGGATAACTTACCTGGATCCACTCAACCCACTGCAAAAAGGCACCAGATAGCCCAGCAGTAAGCACTGACCCAGAAAGACAGAGTACCGTCCTTGGGGTCAGCAAAGTCATAGCTGACTTCTCTGTGTCTTCATCTAGTTCTGCTGCAGGCTAAAAGGACTTTCTATGGGCTCAATGGAACAATTTCACATTAAATATTAGGAGTTTGCAGAGTGAATAATGGGGGACGTGTAACAAAAAAAAGGGAAAGTGAACGAATAACAAGGAGAATGAATAATATGATGAAATGTTATAAAATAACACAAAGGGAAAAGATGTCAAGAGCTAACCATCGTGATTGAACATCATGGATGTAAGTGTCAGTGCACTAACCGGATATCTCGTCCTGAGTAATGGTTCGGACATGTAAGGTTACTTTTAGCTATTTGTTCCAAATTACGGTACATCCTGGAAAACTTTGTGTCTGTTCTGAGGGACCGTAAAAAGACATGAAGCTGAGTGTTCCCACCTAAGAGTGAGTGGTCCCATCTAAAGGAGAGTGATATCAGCTAAGAGTGAGTGGTCCCATTTAAGAGTGAGTGGTGTCATCTAAGAGTGAGTGGTCCCATCTAAGAGTGAGTGGTCCCATTTAAGAGTGAGTGGTGTCATCTAATAGAGAGTGATCCCATCTAAGAGTGAATGTTGTCATCTAAGAGTGAGTGGCCCCATCTAAGAGTGAGTGGTGTCATCTACGAGTGAGTGGCCCCATCTAAGAGTGAGTGGTGTCATCTAAGAGAGAGTGGTCCCATGTAAGAGTGAGTGGTCCCATCTAAGAGTGAGTGGTCCCATCTAAGAGTGAGTGATCCCATCTACGAGTGAGTGGTGTCATCTAAGAGTGAGTGGTGTCATCTAAAAGTGAGTGGTCCCATCTAAGAGGGAGTGGTGTCATCTAAGAGAGCCAGAATTGGTCGTCCCCAATTAAAGAAGATTCATCAGTAAGAAGAAAACACATCACGTTGTCCGGGTAATACATTTTAAGTGCAGGTGCAAAACCAGCTCACCAATAACCCGTGGGCTCAAATTATGATGAAATATCGCGATATTGGAGATCAACACACACAGACACCAAATGTATGCTGTAGCTCGTCTGATTTATTATATTATTGCATCATCATTTATAGTGATAACATCTAAGATATGGAATTGGTATCAGATTCATTCATTGGTCAACTGCAGATGTCCGTTCTGACTTCATAGAGACTTTTCAGATATTTCATATCATAGGTTTTGTTGGTTGGAAAAGCCATGAATATCAATACTGATCGTGTCCCTCCAAATATCTCAGATGTCCAAAATTACAGAAGAATCACATGGCAAAAATCAGAAATAGGCCAAAAGGTAATATAGATAGATAGATAGATAGATAGATAGATAGATAGATAGATAGATAGCATTTTTCCAAAAGATTCTGCACATCAGATGACTTCCAATTCAAAATCAACATATCTTCAAAAGTTTACACAATGCACCTATTGCATATGGTATGAATCTTTTCTCTATGCTTTCCTCATTCCCGGCTGCATTTTCCTCCTCTGTGGGATCATTGCTGGTCTCTTCATGGGCGAGCTCCTAGGAGAAGACACAGTTGTGGTCAAACAAAGCAACATTGATCATTGTACACAAGCAGAGTTTCACTGGGGACAGAAAATGTCTCATTTTAGGTCACCTTGAGGAACATCATCATCATGTAGAAGGAATATGGCACAGAGGGAGGCCACAGACTGGAATCCTTTATTGAATAGCCAGCAGGAAGATTCTGATGTGTTCTGCACTATGGCACAGAACTTTCTCATCAACAAGTGGACCCAACTATAAGGAAGCATGAAGAGGGAACATATTCCTATCAAGAGTTCCCATCATTATCCTAGGTTAGATGCAGATAAGCGGATATTAGACTCATGTCCTCCTGGACGTGTGGAGGGCGGATTCAGAACTGGGACTATCTGCCTCAGGACTTCATATAGGGTCTGATCCCAACTGAGGTATGATCTTTCCACACCTTGGATCTTAATTGTTTCCATTGACGTGATATCTTCATCTGATCTGGACAAATTGGACAACTATGTCCCCTGGCCTCTATTGGAGACCATGTCACCAGACCATTCAAGTCAACAAAAGTCTTTTTATTTAGTAATTGAATGTATTTTATTGATGTTATTTACCTGGAAAACCGTCCCTGTGTGTGGGCACCAAAAACATGTGCTGGGTGCCGCCATCTTGGATGAGGTATCAGTAGCCCCAATATACACAGAGCTATCACTCACATAACATTGCACAGTATTCTATAGCTCCTCCAGCAGCTACAGAAAGGATTATGTAGAAGGATGAGGGGAGGGGTGGAGTAGCTGGGCCAGCACAGATATTAATAGGACACTCCCAGAAGAGGACATGACATACAAGGAGGTATGGGGCTGTACTAAGGATTTGACTCTTCCTGGGGTAGTCAGATTTTTCAGCAGATTTAAGGGAACATTACAAGTCAATAACAAATAATTTATAGAAAAAACACAGCAGGTCAGCATCTAAAATACTCAATATTGTCTGAGCTTTTACCGAGATATTGTACTTTGGTGACAGAGTCTCCTCAAAATGTGAAATTTTGACTTTTGGTTTGGTTGGAACTGTAAAGGGTTAGATATTGTGTCAGGTTTTTATTGTTGAAGAGATTCTCCCCTCACTTCCTGTCCTGTAATATGAACATGGTTTTATGATCATGGACATCTATGAGATGATGTGTAACCTGTGTAAACCTGAACTCCAACCACATATAAAGGACATATATTAAAGCAGCTCTGTAATGATCAATACATTATTAAATCAGTTGTGCTGCAGTGCAAGCAGCATGCTGATAGGAAGAGAGACAGAGAGATGAGCAAATCAGTCTTCTGCTTCTCCTTTCACTGTCCAGTCAGAGACTGGCAGAGGGACACGGAAGTTTTTCTAAACTACAGCAGAGAAAAATTAAGTTTTCAGCAACGGTGGGTAGGGCTGTGCTGTAGGGCAGAGCTGTTTGAATCTGGGCTGGATGGGCAGAGATACAAATTCTTTGGTAGGTAAAATACTCCCATATATGTGTTTCGTTATTTGTCCGGAGTTCAGCTCACACATACTTACTCAGGCCTGCAGAGAGACAAGGAGACCATCCCCAGAAAGAAAACCAGGAACAGGGACTTCTTCAAGGTGAACATCTTTGGTCTCTGTCGATGATTTGTATTCATGGAAAGAAAAAGAAGACAGATTGAAACCTGTGACTCAGTGAGGTGAATGAGATCTAATGAAGAATGAGATGGAGGATTCACCACTATAGAAAAGTCACATGAGGGGCCCTATGTACACATCAAATAATTGTTCCAATACAATAAAAGGTCCAACGTTTGTTTGCTCTGAACCATCACAAAAGATCACGTACACTCGGCACCCATCATGGATTGGCTAGAAAAATTCCAGACCTCAGTGGATCCGGTCACACATGGATACAACTCTGATTATAAGGGGTCTCAGTCTATCTTGTTCCTCTACCCCACCACCACCGGTCCTTAGGTGACACTGGAGTTTGTGTTATTGACAAGGGATCACAGGAATCACCCGGGTCAACCTGGGACATCACCAATACCTCCCTTATCACCCGGGATAAACCTGGGACATCACCAAAACTTCCCTTATCACACGGGTCAACCTGGGACATCACCAATACCCCCCTTATCAAACGGGTCAACCTGGGACATCACCAATACCCCCCTATCACACGGGTCAACCTGAGACATACCAATACCCCCCCTTATCACACGGGTCCACCTGGAACATCACCAATACCCCCCTTACAATACCCGACTTTATCACACCGGGTCAACCTGGGACATCACCAATTCCCCCCTTATCCCCCGGGTCAACCTGGGACATCAACAATACCCCCTCTTATCACCCGGGTCAACCTGCTTGATCACCAATAACCCCCCTTATCACCCAGGTCAAACTGGAACATCACCAATACCCCCCATATCACCAGTGTCAACCGCTTATCACCCAGGTCAAACTGGAACATCACCAATACCCCCCATATCACAAGTGTCAACCGCTTGTCACCCGGGTCAACCTAGGACATCACTAATACCCCCTTATATCACCCGGGTCAACCTGGGACATCACCAATACCCCCTTCATCACCCGGGTCAACCTGGGACATCACCAACACCCCCCTTATCACCCGGGTCAACCTGGAACATCAATAATACCCCTCTTATAACCCGGGTCAACCTGCTTGATCACCAATACCCCCTTATCACCCGGGTGACACCTGAGTTTGTGTTATTGACAAGGGTTCACAGGAACCGAAGTTCCATTCTGCATTGTCTTTGGTTATCGGAGATTTCTATCCTAAGTGGGAAATCCTCTCACCTTACTTGGGCTACCCGTTCTGTTCAACATTGCTAAAGGGTGTTACACTGGACTGAATTAAGAGTTTCTATAGGATTTATATTGTGTGAAAGAGAAGAGAGCCCTGATAATGGTCTCCAGGATTTTTATGGTTTCAGGTTTTGTAGCAAAAGAATGAGACTATTATCTTAAAATAATTGATTTCTGTAAGAAATATAACATATGAATACTATCTGTCTACTATACTATTTCCTAATAAGGGCATGAATATATGAAATGACAGTATGTGTTGTGCATTAGCATATGTAGTATTATTTGAGTTATTGATAGTGGAATTCATTGAAAGTGTTTTAGGTTTTACTATGAGCTGAAGGGGAATATCCCATCCCCCTCCTCTACTGGTCAACTGGTAACAAACAGATTCAAAACGTTCTATATGTGTTATATAGATCTGCTCTGTACTAGCATTGTACTCTAACTTCTGGACACACATCTGGACACGCAAAACTGACTCATGCCAATAACTTTATTTTCTACTATACCCCTTTTATCATCATTATTTATATTTTGTTTAGTTGACTTATCCTGTAATCATTTGGTGTCATATTTTAGATTTGCATGCACCTACAGAAGTAAATGTTATCAATGTGTGCTATTCACCCTTAATTCTACCTTATCAAACTGTAGGGAGTGCTAGAAAAAGTGTCTAACAATGAGCAGGCAGATAGACTTTTTTTTCTTTCTTAACAAGTAATTAACTATGTAATACATACAATAGCTGCCTTCATACTTGATTAGTCAAACTTGGTACCTTCTGTTTTCAATTGTGTAAATCAATTTCAATTTTTAAATTAATTTTGGAACATAAACCATTTATGTGAGGAAATTGATATTAGTAACCTTGTCATCATTTAGGTTCAGCATAAAACAATGAAAAAAACAAGAGAGAGAGCGCTACTACCTAGAGAAAACTTGTATTGAATGTAGGGATGCACAGATACTTTTCGAGTACCAGTGCAGATACTTGGCATTTTCATGAGAACTACCAGGGTTGCAGCGGTTGCAGCCGCAACCTGGCTCTGGCACTCCACCACTGTCCTGAAATCATTAGTCTGTATTGTTTTAGAAAAACTGTCACATGACAATAAACAAAAATGTATCAGTACTCGTACTTGTAAGTACTCGGCAAGTACCAGTACTTGTACTCGCAAAAACTGGTATCTGTACATCACTTTATTTATATTTATAAAAACAAAATCGTACATTAAAACAGAGATTTACAAATCCCAGGAGCTCCGTATGATCCTTACAAATGACAGCTGCCTCCTAATTTCTGAATTTTTCTCTAGTGTAGTCTTGGAGCTCAAAAGTATCGGTACATGTACTCACACTTGTACCGAGTACTGTACTTGGTATCTGTGCAACCCTAATTGAATGGCATCTATTCATAAGAGAAAGAACAAATGTGTGTAACTTACGGTTGGAAGTCTGCAAATGTGTCAAGGATGGTGAAGCAGTGACCGGTAGAGTATCGACAAGACGTCTGAGTGGGTGGATGCTGTGCACAGACGGGCTCGCTGTATCGTGACATAAAACAATGAAGTAATTTAAGCTTCTCATGAAAGATGTCCACCCAGGTTGCTTTCCTTTGCCCATAAAGAATGATAATAGCAATAATAATAATATAACGATGTTCCAGCATTTACTTACTGTGTAGTTCAGTTAGTGCCGAGGTTATGGACAGCTGGAGGTCTTCAAGTGAAGGTGTACTCTACAAGGCACGGAGTTGGTTTATATAATAAAGGAGAGTGAGTCAGGTAATCCGAGGTTATATTTAATGTTTGATGTGCAAGTCACATCTTTCTCAATTACGTTTAACTGATATCATATGTATTCATTAAAATATTTACCTGCTATGCCTCGAGGTGGGACAAATATAATCACCCCATAAGCAATGTGATTAACTCCTGATCTCCTAACTAGACAACTAACTGAAATAGATTTAAGAGGAATTCCAGCCAAAACTTTTGTTTTGTTTTGTAGAACATGGAGTCCGTTTGGGCAGTTGTTTACTCCTGCCTAGGTGTTCGGTCAGTTTCCCCTAAAAGGAAATTCTATGGGAAGAACTATGAAGGGTTCTCTTGCCAATTTTTTTTTTAATGTGCAGGCTCCCATTGTGTTTTCTGAGTGTGGAGGAAAGGGAGCTAGGTCTCCAACCCATTTATCTGCACATATGGACTCTCACCCAGGAAACAGTTCACTCTGCTCATCTCAGGAGGCTTCATTCAATGTCTTCTGGTAGTCCACTTTTTGTGACTACTCTCTTGAGTACCAGACCTGAGAGTTATACTCTCCACTCTTAGACTGACCACTTTTGTGAATTTTGTAAATTTTGTCCTAACCTCCATCCCTTAACAAGCATTTGCTGCACTTCCCACTAGACAAACATCACTGCATGCTCAGATACCATTACTGAAGACCTCTCAAACGAGAAATAAGAGTCTTCTAAAGTTTCCCACATTATCTGACATCGCAGGTTGTGCATGGTCCCTCACCACTTTCCACACTGAAGTGGAAACTCCAGGATGCGTCTAATTGTGTCATGTCAGACTGAGATGGGTGATATTCCTCCTCCACCAACCAGTACCCTTTGTCTTGAAATGGGGCATGGTTTCCTCCAACCAAAAATCAGAACCTCTTTTGCTATAATATAGCAATTGCTTGAAAGATCCTTTTGGACCAGATGATTTTATAAAGATCACTACTTATTATCCTCTAATATATACTGCTCACGTTTTTTTTTAGGAATTATTGAAATCTTATGTCTTATTAATTTGATGAGTGGATTTTTTCATTTTTTACACGAACACTGGATGATTTTGTCACTTTCTATATGGACATTTCTGAGAATTTTTTATTATTATGGACTATTAGTTTTTGGTTTTTTTTACACTACTTGGCTACATTGTTTTTTATGTTCTAGTGTGATTTTGTTCTATTTTTAATATTTATTATTAGCACAATTCATTTAGGTTTATTTATTTGCATTTTTAGATTGGATTAATAGCGCGGTGTATCATTATTCACCTATAATATAGCAGAAGAAATGGGACCAGACTTTGTAAGGATCCTTTCCAAAAGTTGAATTTGTGTACAGTCATTTGTGATAAAAATGAGAAATACTGTTTAAGTAAAAAAAGCAAAATACAACACAGAATGGTGAAATAAACACACAGATTCGGCTAGAAAGAGCAGGAAGCGTTACAACCAATTGGTAGGCAGGGGTTCTGAAAATCCTGAAGGACTTACTATGACACAGTCCACCAAGCAAAGGGCTGGCATGGAAGAGAAGGTGAGTCCAACTTTCTGGTAAAATACAGAGTCAATAAACAGACAAGGTCAGGATCTATGGAAGACGTAATAAGTACACAGAAATTCAGGAACTTGGGTGCACAGAACTTTAGGTGAACAGCAGAATTTTATATTAAATTCCTGAAGTCTGGTAGTTGATTATACTGAATATGCTGGTAGACCATCCAGTGCAGAAACAATGCCCATGCTTTGTGCTATTAGCGGATACTGATATAGTCACAGTGTCAATAGTTCTAGTTGAGACTGGTGGTATCACGTGAGGCTCTGCCTCAAGCTCTAAGTCCAGCATTCTACAAACCTTGAAACTGGAAGGCTTAAACATTTGGAAAATGACAACCATGAATGATGCATAAAGAATGCTCAAACTGCAGAATCTGCATGTGTGACTTGTATGGGAGCAATTTCTCCCACACCAACATCCTGATCCATACAACTTGCAGCTCCAGGTGTCTGCTCACATCCTAAAATCATTGACCTTACATGCCATGGGAGCACAAATGGTGAGCACAATTCTCCTAGACAGGCTCTGCCTTGATTCCTGTTAGTCAGTGAAGCCACCATTACACCTGATGCTTCTAGATATGCTCAAGGAGCCAGAGTAGGCGTGCTGGAACTCAGCCAAGGAAGCTGTACTCATGGTTTACATTCTACATGGCCCCCAGATTTTGGAGATCCTGATGAGCAGAGAAGACAAGACAGATGGAAAGAACAATGTGGGGCCTTCTAATAAGTTGACCATTGGGACGGGCGTCACTGAAACTCCCCTTCTGAAAATTGTATTTGCTTGGCTTGCTTCAGTTCAGGGACAGCCAATCAATCATAATTTTCAGGAGGAGGTCAGTAATAGCAGTCCCTTGTATTTCTCTCTTCTTTAAAGTTCCCCATTGTTTATTATTCTCACCTATTATTTGTATCTGGAGTCATGCCCTCACGCACCGTTTTCAGCTGAAGCATATGAAGTTGATTGTAACTATTTATTTCATTCAATATTTGATCATTGGAGCAGTGTGTGTTGATTCTTGAATAAAAACCATGTTGATTAAATTCAGTTCCCACCAATACACCATTTTTACCCTGATCACACGTGGACTAATGAGTCCAGATGAATAAACAGGAGGGGAAAGGGTCTTTCAGTAAGAATATTATAAATGTTTTAGGGAGGAAGGGCCAAGGTGTTGTTCTGGATTGCAGAACATTTATATACTGTACAAGTGCAATTTCTGATCCAGTAGCATGCTCTTTCTCGTAAAAATCTTGACAATGCCACGTTTGTTGGTAACGTTTGAGTATTGCCTTCATGGGTTATCCATAGTTTAGGTGTCCCATTACAGTATAATCTTCATTGGTTATCAAAAGTTCAGATGTCCCTTGAGAGTATAGTCTTCATTGGTTACTCACAGTTCAGATGTCCATTTCTTACAGAATCCAGATACTGCGGAACAAAGATGAAGCTGCATGTACTTGGAACTCAACTTGAAGACCAAATCACAGGGTCCATTACACACATTACACTGTTACATTTTCAGACCATGTGACCTATGTCTTCCTAAAATTCAAGTGGTATCCCACCATAGCAGCCACCAACATGTTCTTCTCTAATGGCATCTACTTACAGACAAAATTGTTGTTCATCTGGATCTAAAATCTGAGATTGTACAAACACAATATTTTACTTACTGAATGACAGTAATAAACCATCACATCAACTGTCATGGAGTTCGATGGACTGACTGTCTCACAAGGGGCAACAGTAGACTAATAGACAGGACAGGTGCTAGAGCTGTGTAGGTGATCAGACCGAGTAATTGGCAGACCGTGGCAGAGTCAGCAGAATGATATTCGGATCAGGCACGACAAACTGATCCTAAACCGGTCCAGGTTGCAGACAGATCACGGACTGACAGAGGGGATTTAAGGATCTCCTTAAAATTATTTCCCACAATAGACTCTCGCTTATAGGCAGATACAGTGCACATTAGACTCACATCATCCAGTCTTATCTAGAACTATAGACACTGTGATTACATTAAGATCTGCTTAGATTTCATTAGCCTTAGCACAGGCCTTGTTTTTGCATTGATTGATCTGCCAGGATATATTGTATACACAATTCACGGGCCGAATAAAGCGAACATAAAATTCTACTGTTCTGCTGACTCCTGAGGTTTCCGTGTCCCCAAATTCCTAAATTTCTGTGTTCCTGTTTCTTCTTCCATAGATCCTGACCTTGTCTGGTCCTATTCTCTGTACCTTGCCAAGAAGATTGCCGCCTCCCCTTATCAACCTCAGCTAGACTTCAGTTCTCTTGTTGTTCTTTGCTTGGTGGACTGCCTCATGGTCAGTCACCAAGCATGTTCAAAACCCTTGCCTGCCTGCAGGCTGCCACATGGATGACAAAATCAATCAACCAACCGTTACATCTAGGTCCATGTGGGTACATTCTTCTTCAGATGGTTTCTCTGTGATTGGTAATAATGCTTCCTCCTCTTCCTATCTGAATCTGTGTTCATAATTCCAATCTGTAGGGTCATTCACTTTCTATCATTATAATTCCATTTCTAACACAAATGTCTGGACACAAATTCACTATTCTGTAAAGGATAACTGAACGTTTGGCCCCATTTCAGCCACCAGATTATAGCAACAGAGGTTCTGTTTTCTTATTGAAGGAAACTATTCCTAACTGAAAAGAAAGGACGCTGACTAGCAGAGGAGGAGGTCATTCTGCAGAGGAGGTCTGAGGAGTATCACCCATCTCTGTGTGACATGAGAGAATAAGACCCTCCATAGAGTTCCCTGATTAGAGGAGAAATGGTTGAGGGACTGAGCACATTCTGGTATTTCAGGTAACCTGGGAAGCTTTAGAAGACTCTTGCTTCTTGTTCCTGAACATGTAGTGAAATCTGTGCAGGGGGAAGTACAGTAATTGCTCGTTAATGGATAAAGTTGGGTCAGAATTAAAAGTGTGTGACAACCATACAAACTGGCCAGTCTGAGAGAGGACGGCTCATAGGTCTGTCTACCAGGAGAGAAGTAGAGGACTACCAGAACATGATGAAAAAGGCCTCCTAAGATGAGCAGTGTGATCTCTTATTATGTCTGCAGAGGGATGAGGTAATGTCCCAGCTCCCCAACATTCAGAGAACCCAACAAAAGCTCTATTAAAAAACACTTTGCCAATAGAACCTCTCATATGTATTCCCTGAGGATTTCCTTTTATAGGTGAAACTGACCGAACACCTAGACAGGAGTAAACAACTGCCCAAACGGACTCCATGTTCTATAAAACAAAACAAAAGTTTTGGCTCGAATTCCACTTAAATCTATTTTAGATTAAAACCGTCCAGTTAGGCGATCAGGAGGTAATCACACTGCTTATGGGGTGCTGATATTTGTCCCACCTGGAGGCATAGCAGGTAAATATTTTAATGAATACATATGATATCAGTTGCGTGTTATTGAGAA